GCTCTAAATAACCTTACTCCTCTCATTTATTCTGCCCATTCTTTCCAAAGTGATGCATGCAGTAATAGGCTCATGGAGCAAAATGCAATATGAAAAGATTTTTAAGAAGAATGTTTGTCATAAGCAAGAAATATTACTAAAGGGTCATGGTCCTCAAGTGTGAAAACTATGAATTGCTTAAATTCAAAATGTAGACACACTAATGTGCTTGTTTCCTTTATACCAGCTCTCATGTATTTTCTAAAAGGTGTCTCTGCTATGTGGAGCCACGGAACCTAACAGGTACATTGCAATTCATCCTCCTGGGCTTCTCAGATGATCCTGAACTGCAGCCTCTAACGTTCAGCCTGTTCCTGTCCATGTACCTGGTCACTATGCTGGGGAACCTGCTCATCATCCTGGCCATCGGCTCTGACTCCCGTCTGCACAGCCCCATGTACTTCTTCCTCTCCAACCTGTCCATGGCTGACATAGGCTTTTCTTCTACCACCGTCCCAAAGGTGATTTGGGACATTCAAACGCATAGCAGAGCCATCTCCTATGCTGGCTGCCTGACTCAGTTGTCTTCTTTAAATTTTTTTGGATGTTTGGACAGTGTACTCCTAACTGTGATGGCCTACGATCGGTTTGTTGCTATCTGTTATCCCCTGCACTACCTGGATATCATGAACCCGCATTTCTGTAGCCTGCTGCTTCTGGTGTCTTTTTTGATCAGCCTTTTGGACTCCCAGCTGCACTGCTTGATGATATCACAGCTTTCCTTTTGCACAAACATGGAAATTCCTCACTTCTTCTGTGACCCTCCTCAACTCCTCAAGCTTGCCTGTAATGATACCTCTACTAATACAATATTAGTCTATTTTATTGGGGCCATCTTTGGTGGCATTCCAGTCTCAGGTATCTTGTTCTCTTACTATAAAATTGTTTCCTCCATTCTGAGAATCTCATCGTCAGGTGGAAAGTATAAAGCCTTCTCCACCTGTGGTTCTCACCTGTCAGTTGTTTGTTTATTTTATGGGACAGGCCTTGGGGTGTACCTCAGTTCCACTGTCTCACATTTTCCCAGGAAGGCTGCAAGGGCCTCTGTGGTGTATGCTGTGGTCACCCCTATGCTAAACCCTTTCATCTACAGTCTGAGGAACAGGGACATCAAGAGGGCCTTGCAGCGATTCCTCAACAGAATAGCCTAGTCTCAATACATGGGCCGTTGTAGATTTTTTTTCTTATTTCCCCTCCTCCTCCTCCTCCTCCTCCTTCTCCTCCTCCTCCTTCTTCTTCTTCTTCTTCATCTTCTTCTTCCATTTATTATTATTATTATTACTTTAAATAAATGTTTCTAATTATAAGCATTCTAATAGCAATGTAGTGATAGCTCATTGTACTTTGAATTTGTGTTCCCTAATGGCTAATGATATTGAGCACCATTTCATCTAATCTTTTTGATATCAGTATATCTTTTTACCCTTCAGTTTACAGGCTGAGGCTCTATCCACTGACACAAGCCTGTTCGGGCTCTTCTTCTTCTTCTTCTTCTTCTTATTATTATTATTATTATTATTATCAATTTTGTCTGTGGATTAGAAATGGTTCAAAACCAAACATTTGGAGTTCGCAAACATACCTTTTTGGTCAGACAATTTTTGTAGCTTATAGTTTTCATTCCTCTTGATCTATCGTGTCTAAAAATAGTTTATTTGGGCACATCCTTGATGGGATTAAGGGAGTATCCTGGGGTCCTTTGTATGTCAAAATCACCACACAATTGAATCCTATTACAATATGGAATTTTCTGTATTTGTTAACTATGACCCAGGCATCCTGTAGAAATTCACAACTCTTTTTTATTGTGTATGTTATATATGTTTCTCAACAATTTTTGCTGTCCATGTTATTTTTTTTTTGTCCATGCTATTTTTTATAAAACTTTGGCTTTAATCAAATCTATTAGTGCAGGTGTGTGAGAGAATGTGTGTCACTGATCTCCAATCTAGAAAGCATCTGATTAGCTTTAAAAATCTTCATGCCTGAGTCCAATAATCATACATTAAGATTTAACTGAATTGGAGAGTGAAAAGAGTATAATGTTTTTTAACAGTACCCCAGGTGGGCCTAATGTGTATTTAGACATGGCCGAGAACTACTGAATTTTGTCTGACCTTTTATTATAAAATGACTTGTATGTCTTGGGTTCATGATCAGATACTGAAGCCCTTAAAGTGATCAGAGCTCCAAAAGAGCAGATATGAAAGAGCTTGCCTTAGTAACAGCCAACATGATTTCCTCCACTCACATTCTGAGTAATATTTTTTTTTTTTACATTTCTTCTCCCTCCACACTCCACAGCTGTCTCTCTGTACTTGATATTAAGCTAGTTTTTCTGCTCCAAATTTACCTTCTACACTTTCACCACTTACACTGTGGTGCGGCCTCTGATTTTCCACCTGGCTTCTCTTTAGATTCTTCCAGTAATTGTCAGTAAGAGGAAAGGTTCTTCCAACCATTTCCCTTTCCCCTTGGCCTATGTGTTGTCACTACATCCTGCAGTTATGACACTGTATTATCATATTTTTTTCATTTATGCCTTACATCTTTCAAAAACTGTTTAGTCATACCTATATTAAATTATCTCCATTAAAAATGACTAGTGTGGCTTCTCTCTCCTCAACTGAACCTTCACCAATAACTCATAATATGGGGACTAAAGCTATGGTGTGATATACAATTGGAATAATTTAAAGTGAGCTCAGGACTAAAAGGTGATTGCAATGATATGTCTGGGTCAGGGGCATACACTTGAGGTTTAAAATAGTGGTATGCTATCTCCAGTGGCTGTGTGATTCTAATCATGCCTATAGATTGTTAAGTCTCCCAAGTCATTATGAATGAATTTAACTCTATTTTCATTACTCAGGGATAGCAACTGGCCATGTCCTTAGCAAAGGGGACATTTTTCCTTTCACTGGTAACTGCTTCATTAGGATTCCACTTTGCAACCATCATTCCTTCTCTTTTCTATCATGGCCAATCTGTCCTTGACCTCCTATTGTGTCTTATGCTATACTAGAGGCCCAGTGCATGAAATTCGTGTATTGGTAGGGTCCCTAGCGGCTGCTGGCTGCTGGCTGGGTAATCCCTCCCTTCCTCTGTCCATCTGCTGCTGGCCAGGATCTCCCTCACCTCCCCCCGGCCAGCCCCGCCCACTGGTCGAACTCCCAGACAAACTCCAGGTCAAGGGGGTAATTTGCATACTATGCTTTTATTATATAGGATACTCAGGTATCTTTATACATATCAATTTTTTCTTAAAAGATTTTATACATATTTTTGGAGGTAGAAGTCTGGGCTTTCTGAGAAACTGTCCAATAACTCATTTAATTTAACCACTAAACTGTATAGCCTACCAGTTTCACTACAGTGAATTGAGTATCTAATTGGCTCAGTTTACTATTACACTTTTCCTGCTGCCCTAGCATTCTAAAATATGCCAACACTCATATCTCCTTCTTCACTTTCGTATACTCCTGCCATTTGGTCATTTGGGATCCCCAAAGTTTTCCTCTACCATTTAGGAACACACACATAATTAGCATACTTTATCCCATATCCAACTTAACTTGGCAAGTATTTAAGTTTTCTTCATATCAATGAAATCACTCTCTGAGCTCCTCATACAGAGAAATCTGAGTCAGGAGGTCTGCCAAAGACAGGGATTGTCACAAATTAGGATTACCATACATCTCACTTTCACTCACCATCTAAGGCAGAATCGCATTTTAAAAGGCTTCAAGAGTTTCAATTATAGAAGATAAATAAATCCCAGATACCTGCTTCCAGCCCGCCATGGCCTCTGCTCAAGGAGGGGCTGGGAGCCTGGGTTTCAAGGGGCAACCCAGGCTTCCAGCAGGACCTAGGCTCCATTCAAGACTACAAAGTTTCAATTATAGAAAATAAATAAATCCCAGAAAAGAAAGAAAAGAAAAAAAGGAGAGTCTGGGAGCTTGGGTTGCCAGGGCGGGAGAGGGGAGTTTGGGGGGCGTGGCCAGCCTGCAAACAGCCATCAGCCACTCACCCAGACTGTCCAGCACCCCAGCTGGACCCCCCACCCTGAAGGGGATGTGGCCAGCCTGAAAACGGCCCTCAGCCCCTCACCCAGGCTGGCCAGGCACTCCAGCAGGACCCCCATCCTGATCCGGGCCACCCTTCAGGGCAAACCAGTCAGCCCCCACCCGTGCACCAGGCCTCTATCCTATATAGTAAAAGGGAAATCTGCAAACTGAC